AACGTCTCGTCTTAGTCTCAGAAAAAAAATTCGTTAACGAATACTTTTCGTCGTCGTCCTCATTGACTAAATTAACACTGCTGCTGTGCGTGTTGTCACGTTAACATGGACAAACAGTGCTTGTTGACATGGTCATATTTCATGCATTCTGTTTAACGACTTTTGGCACTATCCGCCTTCCATATATCAGATTTGTGTTTCTTCAGTATGCAAGAAATCACAGTGAATGAGGTACGTGTAGGTTTGCCAGATCTATCTATCTGTCTGTCTGTCTGTCTGTCTGTCCATTCCAAACACACAAAACATGGTGGTTTAGTTAAACTCACCGAAGTCTTTGGTGCTGTAATAATACTTTGGTCAAGAATATTGGATACCAAATGCTAAAGACGCCAAAATGATTGTTCAGCTGACAAAACATATTTCTGGAAAAATGAGGAGGAAAAAAAACCCTTTGAAAGTAGACAAAGTAGAAAGTAGACTTTTAAATGTTGTAATTTGTGAAAAGTACGTGATTAGGATATTTTATTCTGTTTGCACTATTGTAAAGATGCCAGATGAAATTTCTATGGACACTGCAACTCTCTGGCATTTTTTCTTAAAAACAAAATTCTTCATATAATACATCCAAAAATGTAATGATGCTATTTATTTCACTTTACTGCATTGCCACCGAACTTCCATAGGTGTCAGATTTGCCTCATTTTTAATCCGTGTTAAATTCAATATGGCGTCTAATCTGACAAAGGTCTTTTGACTCCTATATTTAAATGTGATTGTCACTTCTGAAACTCCACAGTGTGCACTGTATGTGGCCATAGTGATTTTAATTACCAGTGATCAGACATTCAATGAACGAGCCATGAAACATACATTCTGAGCGGTTTATTGACTCTATGTTACAAAATGCACTCGTCTAGTTCCACAGAGAAGCATGGGGTAGCCCCACAGAGCACTAGATCTGCTCCAGTCAGCTCTTTCCATCACTAAAGGCCGTTCACTAACACCGTAAAGCCTTCTTCACTCTCTATACATGCAGCTGTCAGGCTCTCACGCCGCTCGCAGGAAATGTTGCATCCTCAGAATGTCAATGGGAAACCTTAAATACAGCATGACATAGCATTGTTTGCAGAAATGAACTAAAAAAAGAATCACGTCCTATACTGTAACTCAATTACAATAAAATCAGACAGAAAGTATAGGTTGTCTGAGATGAGCATTAACAAAGAAAGGCACTGATTTCTAAAGTAGGGAAAAGCTCATGCACTCTTCTCCTGGATAAGCTCATGTGAATCAGGCATGCAGGTTGCAAATCTAATAAAAGTAAACTGACAGACATGATACAGTATGATATAGAACCCATGAAGATAAACATTATTTGCATAATTGGAAAAAGCAAAAAGTAAGATTTGAAAATAAAACAGTGGGAGGATGCAACTAAATGCTTGTTTGTAATATATGAAATATCTACACACACATTTGAAATACAAATCGATGTTTTAATTCTATTCAATCTGATGTCTGGACCGGCCTGTTTATATTTATACACAGTTATAAAATTCAGATTACTTCATATCTCTCTCTCTTGTTCTCTGGTCTACAGGTTAAGACTTTGAAAGCTCACATGTCAAGCTTTGAGAATTATTGTTGCAGGTGTGGAAACTGCTGCTCATAACTGAAATGCATGAAACATTTTCCCACAGGGATTCATCTAAGATTTGTGCGAGGTATGATTATGATTTTAATGGAAGATTCTAAAGGCAGAATATGGGAACAATACTGGATCTAAATATTGACCGTTCATTTTTGCGGTGTGTTATTGTGTGAAATTAATTCTCCAATTTTACTCCATAAATCATGTTGTCAGCCACGTTGTGTGCAACTTATGTCCACTAGGTGGCGATGTTGTAGAGAACATTGTACTCTTGGTGAACTACATTTATAACTTTTTTTAATATTATGAATTGCCCACAGTTACAAAATATTCTATATGTAAAAGTAATGTTTAATAAATAGCTTTTTAATTAACGTAGGCAACAAATATTTTGTGGGGTAATAAGTTCAGGAACATCCTGAAACCAACTCTAGACAGGTTTAAAGGGACAGTTCACCCAAAAAAGAAAATTCGGTCATCATTTACTTAGCTTTCACTTGTTCCAAACCTGTACGAGTTTCTTTCTCCTGTTGAGCACAAAAGAAGATATTTTGAAGAATGACGGTAACCAAACAGTGGTCTTCCATAGTAATGAAAAAAAAATAAAAAAAAATACTATGGAAGTCAGTGGCTACCATCAAACTTTTGGTTACCAACATTCTTCAAAATGTCTTCTTTTGTGTTAAACAGAAGAAAGAAACTCATACAGGTTTGGAACAAGTGGAAGGTAAGAGAATGATGACAGAATTTTCATTTTCGGGTGAACTATCTCTTTTTAATTGATGCTTTGAAAGACATTTCTTTGACATTAACAGAGCTCCTTTGCAGACACAAATACTGATGGTCAAAACCTCCAAATGAAAACAAATACTGTATGGCTACAGACAGCCTGATGTGCTTAGTTAGCTCAATAAATAAACCCACACGGTAAGATGCTTTGAGAACAGTGATTACAGTGCTGGAAACATGTAAACATAACGTGACATTTTTCACAAGGACATTAAAATTACGATACATATAAGCAGCATTACAGTGCTGGAAACATGTAAACATAACGTGACATTTTAATTACGATACATATAAGCAGCATCACTTGTAACAGTGTTTAATAAGACAAATACAACATGTGTGCTTTGATTTGCTACCTGTAGCTTCCAAATCTATAATATAGCATCTTGATCTAGTTGGCAAATGATTCTGAACAAATAAATAAATAAAAAAAACTGGAAAAGATCAATTTTAAATATATTTTAGAAAACATACAACATAACATGTAAACATAACGTGACATTTTTCACAAGGACATTAAAATTACGATACATATAAGCAGCATTACTTGTAACAGTGTTTAATAAGACAAATACAACATGTGTGCTTTGATTTGCTACCTGTAGCTTCCAAATCTATAATATAGCATCTTGATCTAGTTGACAAATGATTCTGAACAAATAAATAAAAATAAAAAACTGTAAAGATCAATTTTAAATATATTTTAGAAAACATACAACATCTTAATCTTTATTTGACTTTCCACCTGTTTTGGCTGGACCCACTGTTGTAGTTAAGAACAATGTGGAATGATTCTGTAGAAACTTAAAGGCTGCAGAGTCACAGGTTTGTACTTATTTAATGAAAGAAGTATGATTTATTACTGATTGTGCTTAAAAACGGAAACAGTTAATATACCATGAATTTGTGTTATGTGGTTAATTTTTATTGTCATACTGTGTGTGACACATTACTAACTTAAAGTAATAGATTTGGATAAATGGTATAGGGTTTTAAAAATGTAACGTTACATCACTTGCTCACCAATGGATCCTCTGCAGTGAATGGGTGCCGTCAGAATGAGAGTCCAAACAGCTGATAAAAACATCACAAAAATTCACAAGTAATCCACACCACTCCAGTCCATCAATAAATCTCTTGTGAAGCAAAAAGCTGCATGTTTATATCACTATCATTAAGATGGTTTTAACTACAAACTGTTGCTTCTGGTCAAAATTAATATCCTCTATCCATAATATTCTTAGAAATCTGCACAGATCAAGAACCGTTTACAAGTGAAAACAGTCCAAATCAGCTCTAAAGAAATAAGGACAACAGGGGATAGACCTTTTAACTGGAGGAAGCATTATTATGGATTATTTACTTGTATTTTGGCCATAAGCAACAGTTTAAAGTTAAAATGTAAAAGCTGCATGTTTATATCACTATCATTAAGATGGTTTTAACTACAAACTGTTACTTCTGGTCAAAATTAATATCCTCTATCCATAATATTCTTAGAAATCTGCACAGATCAAGAACCGTTTACAAGTGAAAACAGTCCAAATCAGCTCTAAAGAAATAAGGACAACAGGGGATAGACCTTTTAACTGGAGGAAGCATTATTATGGATTATGTACTTGTATTTTGGCCATAAGCAACAGTTTAAAGTTAAAATGCCTTAGCTTTTTACAAACACACAGCTTTTTATTTCACAATACATTAACTGATGGACTGGAGCGGTGTGGATTATTGTGATGTTTTTATCAGCTATTTGTGTAATCCCTCTCTCCCGGGTCCTCACCGCCACACCTCGTTCTTCTTCCGAGTGTGTCTTGAACCTGGGTCTCCGGCATGGGAGACGGACGCACTAACAAGGAGGCTAAAGACTGCAGCCACTAGCATCAGTCGCTAGTGCGTCTCTTGAGATCAGAGGAGTGAGATTTACCTGCACAGCACCTACTCGCTGGCCTGGTTACACTCACCCCCCTAAACCTCAATCCCATCCGGGTCACGGCACCAATGTAACCCCTCGGTCCCGGGTCCTCACCGCCACACCTCGTTCTGAGTGGGTCTCGAACCTGGGTCTCCGGCATGGGAGGGGGACGGCATCAACAAGGAGGCTGAAGACTGCAGCCACTAGCATCAGTCGCTAGTGCGTCTCTTGAGATCAGAGGAGTGAGATTTACCTGCACAGCACCTACTCGCTGGCCTGGTTACACTCACCCCCCTAAACCTCAATCCCATCCGGGTCACGGCACCAATGTAACCCCTCGGTCCCCTCGCTGGCCTGGTTACACTCACCCCCCTAAACCTCAATCCCATCTGGGTCACGGCACCAATGTAACCCCTCGGTCCTGGGTCCTCACCGCCACACCTCGTTCTGAGTGGGTCTCGAACCTGGGTCTCCGGCATGGGAGGTGGACGGCATCTACCCGCTGGCCTCCGTTACATTTGGACTCTCATTCTGAAGACACCCATTCACTGCAGAGGATCCATTGGTGAGCAAGTGACGTAAGGCTACATTTCTCCAAATCTGATCCAATAAAGAAACAAGTACTATATCTTGGATGGCCTGAGTTTGAGTAAATTTTCAGCAAACTATCATTGTTGGGTGAACTATTCCTTTAACTAAGGAGTTAAGTAAATTGTATGTCAAATATTCCTTGTAAATTGTTTCAATCTAAGAATGGATTTATGCACAGAAATTAACTCTGTTTGTGTTTAAGGGCCAATGTATGAAATGTTACTTTAAGATGTACAATGGCTTCTAGTTATAGATGATTAACAGAGTATACTTTAGGAGAAATAGATGATTATCAGACTATACCTTAAATAAAGGTATACATTTTTTACAAGTATATGACAAAAAATGTAAAAATAATTTTTCTTTGATATTCAAAATGCTGTTAATTTTAGTTTATGGGTAAAGCACTGCTAGTAATCTGACTTGTACTGTATCATTGAGGATGTCGGGTTTGTGGAGTATAAAGGTGGTTATGTGAGCTGGCCCGCCAACAGAGTCCATTCAGATGTTAAATGACGTTCTCAAAAAGCTGCATTGATCTCATGATGTTCTCGTCCTGTAGGGAACAAACAGACACAGGTGAACACTTTAATAACACCTCAGCTGTGAAGACTAATGGACTGTCTTCAGGACGACATTCTGCTGCAGGCTCAATGAACATTATGTAAGGAGCGTTTCTCTCTAAGCGCTCTACTCAATAAAATCATATAGTAAATGTTTTCAAGAAAGACATTGATGCAGAACATCACATTCAGAACAAAAATAGACCTACGTTTTGACAGCAGTCTATAAATTCATCTATAGTGACCACTCCATCCCTGTTTTTGTCCATTTTCTGTCAGGACACAAAAGGGGTCAAAAGGTCAGTTTGTTCATTTGAGGTTGCTCTATTCATTTAGCTTTAGACATTTTTCTTGCTTAGAATTACATTTAGACAATCTACATGATAACATGATCTGTAGGACCATTGCTTTACCAATGAACCAAAGTGCTGTGTCTGGCAATAATTCCTTTTTTCCAAATTTTTAATCACCCTTTTATGGAAGCCCATTTCCATCACATAAGGGAAAAAAATCATGCTTTGGTAAATGATAATTATGACATTAAAATTCATAAATATGAGATAAAATGTGTATATGAGAATTATGAGATGCTAAGTCATAATTATGAGATAAAAAGTCAAAATGATGACAAAAATCTACATTTTATGTCATAATGACTTAGTATCTCATAAATTAAACTTTTATCTCATATTTAGTAAACATGCCGTTTATAAATCCTTAGACTAAAATTTACAATACTTTTTTACTTTTGAATCACTTTTTCTCATATTTGTGACTTAGTATGACTTGGTTTATCCATTTTTTGTCAAGACACAAAAAGGCTCCAAAGGTCAATGTGCTTTAGACATTTTTCTTGCTTAGAAGTACATCTAGACAATCACTATAATAACATCAGCAAAAACTAGAACGGTAGGCTCCTGGTGATATATAACATGGCATAGATGGGAACATTCTGGAAATGGATTTGCTTTTTTATTCACTTTTTTATGGAAGCCCATTTCCGCCATATAAGAGGAAAATTGATGTGTTGGTAAATTATGACATTGATAGTCATAAATATAAGTTAAAAATCCAAATTATGAGATGCTCAGTCACAATGAGATAAAAAGTTTAAATTATGACATTAAAAGTCAAAATTATGACAAAGTATTAAAAATGTTGTCATAATTAGTATCTCATAATTTCAACTTTTATCTCATAATTAGGCCTTTGTATCTCATTTTCAACACCTTTGACTAAAATGTACGATCATTTTGACTTTTAATCTCATATTTATGACACAAACGAGGTCAGTGTGTTCATTTAAGGTTGTTCTATTTACTGTAGCTTTAGAAATTTTTCTTGCTTAGAATTACATCAAGACAACCTCTATAACAGCATCAGTAGAAACTAGATCTAGGGTCCTGTTGATAAATAATATGACATAGATGGGAACATTCTGGAAGTGTACTTGCTTTACCAGTGTCCTATCTAGCAAATATTTTCTATATGAAGAACAATCATTACAAAATAAATTAGATGCCAATCTCACCTGGAAAAAGATCTCCACATGCTGTCGTGGAGTTTCCTCTTTAAGTATGGGATATGTGCATTTCCCCATCATGTCATAGATGGACTTTATGATATCTAACATTTCCTGTAAAACACAAACAATAGACAGGCATGTTAGTGTTTTATATGATCGCTTGTCACGTAAGTGATTTTCTGGCAAGACTTTACAATAAGGTTTAATATGTTAACATTCATTAATGCATTTGTTATCATGAACTGACAATGAAAAACATTTTTTCCACATTTATTAATATAGTATAAATGTATTGCTATTGTCTATTTTTAACTTGAAAAGTTAAAACTGTATTAGTTTACTGTATGTAGAAATGTTAAAAAGTTGTAATTAAGACATTTAATTTTAAGGACATTTAAAACTGCATTAGATAATATGGAAATTAACACTAAACTAGAATAATAAAAGTTAATTGTTTGTTGTTAGTTCATGACACCTATACAATGAATTCATGTTACGCAGTGTTCATTATTATAAAGTGTTACTCATAATCTTCAAGTATTACCTCTTTTGTTATATATCCATCTTTATTCATATCATACAGGTTAAATGCCCAGTTAAGCTTCTCCTGAACGCTGCCTCGTAAGAGAATGGAGAGACCCATCACAAAATCCTGTAATGCAATGAAAGACATTGAGAAATCAGTCAGAGCAAACAGAATATTATTGCATATCATCATAAATCTGTAATTTACAGCTAGAACATAAATGATGATTATTCTGCTAACCAAACTGCTTCATTTCACATGATGATATGATACCTCAAGGTATTTTAATGGTTTTGTTATGGATCTCACTAATCCATTATACATGCAAAGTGCATACGTGAATGGAAATAAATGTCTTTAATAACCATTTTCCAAATGATGAGAGGAATTCTTTCAAACTGAACTTTTCACATGAGCACTCAAGGTTTTTAATTACCAGATATGACAAAATATGCCTTAGCGGGAGCTAAATGGCTACAGGACAAGCCAAACTTTGTTATTAAAAACAAGACGAGGATATTCTCGTTTAGTTTAATTACTGTATCGCTGTGGACCAGCAATGCTTGTTTATTGCCAAAGAATGAAATCATTGTTGTGTGCAAATTGAAGGTTCAGTGGTAGTTAAAATGTTTCCTAATGTCTCTGTATTACACATATTGCACAATATGCTGTCAGTCAAGACATTTATTCAACGGCGGTTAAGGATTTTAAGGTAAAATAAATGGGAAATGGGAGTATTTTAAGGTCTTTCATTCATTCATTCAGTTTTTATAAAATCCCATTTCTGCCACATAAGAAAACATAATGCTTTGGTAAGTCATAATTATGGCAATAAAAAGACAAAATTATGAGATACTAATTCAAAATTATGACATAAATGTTTTTACATTTTGTCATCATTTCTAATTAGTATCTCATAATTTGACTGTATCTCATAATTTAACACACTATCCCAGAATGTTGACTTTTGTGTCACAATTATGACTTTCTATCTCATAATTATAACTTGATTATGAGATAAAATGTTGAAACAATTAGATAGTTGAAATTATGCAATAAAAAGTCAGTTTTTGTCATAATTATGAATTCGTATCTCATAATTTCAACTTTTGTGTAATAATTATGAATTTTTATCTCATACTTTTAAAATTTGACTAAGTATGTAACCAAGTATGTCATAATTCCCATGTCATTTGACTAGTTTATTTATCTATGATATATATTATTTCAAATTTTACTTCAATTGATTTTATATGTTTTTTCATTAGTTTTTCAGTTAAAACTGCATGCATTATACCTTTAAAGAATTAGCACATGCACAAGAGTCCACATCCAAATATCAAACTGCAATTCAGTGTCAACACAATAATATTAGGTGCACTACTATGTCATGCATGTGTGAGAGTGATCATCTTCAGAATGCTCTGTTAGTATTATTACTTACCTCAAAACTGATAGAGCCATTGTGATCTGTGTCGAATGCATTGAACAGAAAATGTGCATACGTTGATGCATCTGAAAAATAAAACAGGAAACCTCTCAGCTTCAATCACAGCAATGTCATTACCTCATTTCATAGCATATTCGGTTCAACAACTAAGGGGATGCATGAGCTTGCACAAGCTATGATCCATTATACTATAAATAATGCAAGCAGTGTGTGTATGTGAATGAGCTGGAAATGAGTAGGGCCACGTGAGAGAGATCTGTCACAAACCCTGACAAATGATGTAGAGAAGCTCAAACCCATAATTATAAAAGTACTCCATTGACTTTGCAGTGGCACAAATCATGTGACTCAAAAGAGAAGAGAACCACTACAACAGCTCTTTCCACTGGGAGACCTCCATTCAGATCAGTGGTGTGTGTGTGTGTGTGTTGGTCTGCTGAAATGATGAGGAAAACTTTCCTCTGGGGCTTTTTTAGTTCTTCAAATTCATGTTCCATTTCTATTTGATGTTATACAGTTTCTGGGTTAAATACACAAAATCATGCTTTGGTAAGTCATAGTTACGACACAGTCATAAATATGAGATAAAAATTAGGCCTAATTCATAATTATGAGATAAAAAGTCAATATTATGAGAAAGTCAAAATGATGACACAATACGTTTTTGTAATAATTTTGATATATCTCCTAATTTTGACTTCCAGGTCACCATTATGACTTTTCGGTTCTTCGCAGTTTTTAATATGAAAGTCCAAATTACGAGATACCAAGTCGAAACGATAACATAAAAAGAAGATTGTTTTCGTAATTGTATCAGTATTTTAATTTTGACTTTTGTGTCGTCGTTATGGCTTTTTAGTTTTTCACAGTTTTGGTGAATCATAATTATGAAAGATACAATTATGAGATACTAAAGCATAATTGTAAGATAATACTCAAAATTATGAGAGAGTGGAAATTATAACATGAAAAATATAATTTTTGTCATAAATATCTGCAATTTTGACTTTTGTGTCATCTTTCAAATCATCTTTATCTCATCATGACTTAGTATCTCACAATTTTGACTTTTTATGTGATAAATTCAACTTTTTATGTTATGATTATGCAGGACTTTTTTCTTACGTGGCAGAAAATTATACTATATTACTGAAAACACTTTTAGTCACCACAAGCAAGTTTTTCCAATAAGCCTGTTTTGCAAAATAACAATAATAATAAAGTATGTTTTGTCAGGTAACCTAAAATGGTAAGATTTAAATTAACTGGCTTATTCAAGTCTAAAATATTGTTTAATAAGACTGAATCAACGTTACTTACAACAGTTTACACCAACAAAATATTATAAAGGGTCAGAACAGGTTGTATTAAAAAATGCTATACAGTATAAATTTAATGGAGAATATATGACTTTAGATCCACTCACCTCCCTGCGGGAAGAACTGAGAGTAAATTTCCTTAAATGTGTCTTCGTTGACCACACCACTGGGGCATTCCTAAAAAACACAGATACAGACATTTCCATCACTGAGATGTTATTGAGATGTTATTGAAGAGTGATTTCACCAAGAGAACCATTATGTGCATGAACATCCAAATAGGAAATGGCACCATTGCTGAGCAATAAACACATTATCCATTGTCCATTCTCATTCTAATGTGCATCATAAATGAAAATGTGAAGCAGCAGGCAAACACATTGCGCTAGAAGTGCATTTGCAGCATTGAACATAATCTCATATGACTCTCCTTCATTTCAAATAAACGAGCTCAGAGAGATTGCAAGTGCTTGTCAGACTTTTACATTTTTTTCCAGTGTTGTAAGATCAAAATTCTTTGCTCTAGTATCACTCATCACTAGGTAATGGTAGACCTCATATATGATTTCTCTAGCATGTTGTATCACTAATAAATTGTGAGGAATGTGCACGCTTAATGCTTGAATTTGTATTCGATTTTACGTGAGGACTTGCACTAAAAATGACGCTTTGAAAAGCAGATCGACCTCCTCGAGATGACCAATAGTTTAAGCTGTCATGCTTGTCTGATGAAACGCTCTCAGACGTTTTGGTTTAATAAACACATTTATGAGCGGCTCTTCAGAAATGATCCTTTCAAGCCTGAGAATGAATTATGAGAGGACGAGTGTTGTCTCACAACACCAACAATGCAGTTTCAAGCAGCAGGCAAACACATTGCGCTAGAAGTGCATTTGCAGCATTGAACATAATCTCATATGACTCTCCTTCATTTCAAATAAACGAGCTCAGAGAGATTGCAAGTGCTTGTCAGACTTTTACATTTTTTTCCAGTGTTGTAAGATCAAAATTCTTTGCTCTAGTATCACTCATCACTAGGTAATGGTAGACCTCATATATGATTTCTCTAGCATGTTGTATCACTAATAAATTGTGAGGAATGTGCACGCTTAATGCTTGAATTTGTATTCGATTTTACGTGAGGACTTGCACTAAAAATGACGCTTTGAAAAGCAGATCGACCTCCTCGAGATGACCAATAGTTTAAGCTGTCATGCTTGTCTGATGAAACGCTCTCAGACGTTTTGGTTTAATAAACACATTTATGAGCGGCTCTTCAGAAATGATCCTTTCAAGCCTGAGAATTAATTATGAGAGGACGAGTGTTGTCTCACAACACCAACAATGCAGTTTTTTTCTTATTCTTGTTAAGGGAGTTGTAAGATGTCTGGTGAAGATAAATAATAAACTAGCGTATTTTATTAATTTTTGAAATTGTAGCAGATATGACAGATGCACATTATCGCTTTTATTTAAATATCACTAAAGCAGTGATAGTCTGACAGATAAAGTGATTACAGATTGAACTTTATAAGATCCGTATTTAGCAAACCTTTATTAGGCAGTTCCAGCATTACTCATGTGTTCCCCTCGATATGATAAACCAGCTAAAATCAAGTCAAATCACATTTTTAACAATGCATCACCCTTGACGACAGACATAAAAGCAATGAAAGAAATTAATGTCGTTGTCTCGTAGAAGATGCCACCACTTTCTGTTAGATGTATTATTTTAATTCACGTCTTTGTAGCAAAAGAACTGAGAACTGGGATGTTCTTTAACTAGTTTATGCAAAGCACAATACTAGATTCTGACGGCTGGTTAACATTCGGCTTTATATGGAGAAACAGATAAGTAGAGTAGCAACAAAGTAGCTTTAATATTTAATTTGAGGGCATGTATTCATCCTTCCGGTTGCAATTTAAAGTGAGTAATAAAGGTGCCATTTTTGTTGACATAATCTGTGCAATTATATGATGAAGACCAAACATCCCACACCCACAGCACAAAATAAAGTCCATTCTGATGTTTATGCCTTATTCTTAGCATCATTAACTGTCTGTAACTTGTGCATGATATCTTATTTAAAAACATACACATATTTTGCGCTTCCATAGATCGTATAATGAAAGAAATCTGTCCACACTGCACTCCAGCAATGATAAACACATGACTCTGTATGTCATATGAAGGATCTTAACAAATGGAACAATCCAAAATTGTAATAGCTGGAACAGTGTCATTTGGACCCCAGGAATTGGATTAGATTACACAGTAGACCGGGAAGTTGATTGCTGTTGCTTTATCATAAATGGTTTGGCAATTGCAGCAATTATGAAGCATGCTTTTACAGTGTTACAATATCAAGCAAGGAATAAGTGCAGACAATTGTTTAGACATCTTTAGTTTACATACCCAAGAGAGATTTCAGTTATTTGATTTTCTGTGACCAGAAGTGACTAGATAATCTAAATCATCTACTTTTGTGTGTGTGTGTAGATAGATAGATAGATAGATAGATAGATAGATAGATAGATAGATAGATAGATAGATAGATAGATAGATAGATAGATAGATAGATAGATAGATAGATTAAGATAAAGGAAGTTCATCGAAATATAATTTATGATTTTTTTATAAATGTAAATTAGATAATTTCTACAGACATATATAAAATCTACAGTATATTAGACTATATTTTAAGTCTTATGAAGCAACATGGTAGCTTTATGTGAAGAAAAGGCTGCAACTTAAGTCATTCACTGACCATCTAGAACCCAAATTTTATTCAAACTTGCCCTAAAATGTGTCACATCACATTAGTGATGCCAATTTTGACGCCAACGTGAATTTCCGTGACTTTTGCAGTCATTTGCGATCACTTGGTAGGTATTTGTCAAATACATTTGCACTCATGATAACTTTTAAGGTTTTTTATTTTTTTTATTTTAAAAGCTGTGCATGACCAATGAAATGTATTTTCACTATGAAAATTTCCATAACTTTTCTCTGTCTCTTCTACGCTGGGATTAATTTAGCTGTTTTTTTCAGGCCTGGAAAGCCACATTTTGAAAATGGCCTGATATTTTCAAGTTTTTCATGTCTGTGGAAATAATAAAAGACTGATCTTTAAACTAATCTGTTAAGAACTTTTTGGAAAACATTGCATGTTTAGACCTGACGTAATGAAGCGTCCGGCTGCAGGGCAAAATAATGGACTTTTATAAAGTGGCCACATGTACCAGTACATGGCAAAACTCTGAGCAATAAAACGACATGAAAATCAAATAATCACAAACCAGCCTCTGGCGTTCAGAGCCAGATATGAAACCTCATTACAGTATTCCCTTTGCTGTGTATTGAGCAACTAGAGGAGGAGGACTGGAGGACTGAGAGGTGCTGGGAAAACTGTGCGGTTTTTGATACAAGCACAGCACAGGAGGGATTTACACTTAGATCATGCTTTTACATTCTTCAATAAAATACACCGTACAACTGTCTGTCACACTGTCAGAAAACAGTTAGAATCTGCCGGCCTGAATTCAGTCAGGGCATATGTCTTCAGTATACAGTATAACATTATATTCGGTACACGGTATACAGACATTAACTGAGTGGTGTGGATTACTTGTGGATTACTGTGATGTTTTTATCAGCTTATTGGACTCTCATTTTGACGGCACCCATTTACTGCAGAGGATCCACTGGTGAGCATGAGATGCAATGCTACATTTTAGATCAAGAAACAAACTCATCTACATCTTGGACGGCTTGATGGTGAGTACATTTTCAGCAATTTTTTGGGTGAGCTATTCCTTCAAGATAACATTTCCAAAGACTCACTGTACACTGTCATGATATGCATGTTTGAATGGCGATTCACAAATATTCATAAATAACAACAAAAACGGTCTGAATTGTGTCCTCTGCACCACCAATTACCTTGGGCTCTGCTACATGAAAGAAGCCCTACAGTAAATTGTTTTGTCTAATCCAGCACTTCACATCTTTGACATAAAAAGGCTGTGTCGGAGAAAGTTCTGTGCTGTTACAGTGAGCTCTGGTTAATTAAAAGGGATTGTTTTGTGTTACTGTCATCGACTGTCTCTTGTGCAGGCAGCATGAGAAAGACCCCGTGTAATTACCTTTTAAGAGACACACCGCTCTCATCAGAAACCATCACTGCCAAAGTCTTCTCCACATTATCAAAACTCCAGGAGCATTGCAGGGTTCATTAACAGAGTTAAGATACACAGACTCTAATTAAAATATTTTTTCAGCTTACTGAAGCATGATCATTCACTGACGGCACACAGAGGATTAAGGACAGAATATCTGGCATATTTTGGTTTTAGCTTACCACTAATTCATAGGAGTCATGGGATAATACAACTGAAATAACACTAAGGAAAAGTCTGAATGAAGCCGAAATGATTCTGAAATACCCTGTTAGTAGCAAATTCAGTTACTTTTTCTTTTTCAGCTACTTTGCAGATAATCAAGTTTAATTTAGGCCCGGATCATTTGTGGAGTGTAATTAACCTAGCAAGAAGAAAAATATGCCCGCCATCTCTCATAAAATGAAATCTTCTCATCTGTAAAATCCACTATGAACAGATTATTGTGCATGACTTCCACTGATCTACAAGGTCGATTTCTCCCATACAAACATCTACAAACTTCTCTCAGCACTATTTGTGAGCTTGGACCACAAAACCAGTGTAGCGAATCAGCTCATGTGAAATATGAATAACTAACCATAACTAGTTATAGTTAACTATTCATATTTTAGATCCGCTGTAGATATTTAGCTGACCTCTCAGGGTCAACTGTCTTGTCAATTCTAAGAACGTTAATTTCCTGGTTAAGGGAAATAACTTTCTTACTGTACAATTCTACAAAGCTTGTAGCGTAAATCTGCATGATTAGTGACTCCGGTTATGAGCAAACAATGAACACATCAAGTGTGATACAAGTAAGGTTTTATTAACTACATAAACACTTAAACTAGTCTAACATACTACATAAACACATAAACTGGTCTAACATCCTACATACACACATAAACTGGTCTAACATACACATACACACTCACAAACATACGGCTGGTATAGGAAAGGGTTAAAGTTTAACTTAGTACAGAAAGAGGCATAAGGAATGAAATTTATGCAACCATTTGTCAGTTGTCCAAATGAAGTTCTTAGCAATGCATATTACTAATCAAAAATTAGTTATAGCATAAAAGAAAAATCAATAATTTAGACCCATATACAATGTATTTTTGGCTATTGCTACAAATATACCCCAGCCACTTAAGGCTGGTTTTGTGGTCCAGGGTCACATTTGGTTTTGAATTTGTGTCTGATCAAGAGTCTGAACTGAACAATGCACTTCTTTTTATTTATTTATTTGTAATTTTTTGAGGCAGCAGTTCTGGTGCCCTTGGCGTGATAAGAAGAAAAA